ATCGACAACCTGCCTGTTCTGTCTGAGGGCCGTATATTTACCACAGGTACAAACTGCTCTGAGTATCGTTATGCACATGCTGCGCACAGACCATGCAAATAAAACATGTGACTTTAAAGCATGCGTGCAGCGCGTGCATAACAGTCCTGAGCGCCAACTGTACCGGTGGTCAATAAGAATAAAGCGCAGATATGCTGTTCTAAATGGACGTCGGGAACGGGATATTGTTAGACTGCCCGCTCCCGTTCAAATTACACCAGTTACCAACCGCTACCGCGTTTTATTCGGGAATTTAATCTCGCGGCGCAAAAAATCCGGTCGGGTCCCGCGGTTCCCTCTAGCAGACCTCTAGCAGGAAGCACTCACACACACACATACATTACTTTTTTTTTTTTTTTTTTACTTAACACAGTTCAATTTGAGTGGAGAACAATGAGTTTATATCATATTTTTATTTTTAAACATATTATATATTTATTACATATTTATGAAATTGTATGAATGTTTAGGTTATAATTCAGGTTAAATTTTTATTTATTTATTTTATTATTATTTCTATTTTTTTTTTATTATTATTATTTCTATTTTTTTACAAAATATAGATTTTAAAATGTCTCAATACATATAGCCTAGTGACTGCAGGGGAAAAAAAGTTAACCATGCATTCATAAATTTGCAATAGGCAATTATTTGTCATTTTATTTAAATATTTTAATGTAAGTTAAACAAAAAATAATTCACTGTACACGTTTCTGAATATTTAAATATCATATCTAAATAGTCTTTTGGATAAAATATAGAAATCACTTTAATTCTAATATTCGGTCCCTGTACATGAAGAGAGAGTCAGTTGTCCGCTCATGGGTCCGCTGCGTGAGGAAAGCGAGTCGCCAGCTGAGGAGAGCCAGTGCTCCGCTGCGTCATGAAAGCGAGTCGCCAGCTGAGGAGAGCCAGTGTTCCGCTGCGTCATGAAAGCGAGTCGCCAGCTGAGGAGAGCCAGTGTTCCGCTGCGTGAAAATAATTCACTGTACACGTTTCTGAATATTTAAATATCATATCT